TTTAGTAAAAATGTGCGCTCGCTCTTAAGCTCCGATACCTGTCATACAAAAGTTTGTGTGACCTTGTGACATCTACATTGTCACAGCATTGTGTGAGAACCACGTGGTATGCTGCATCTACGTAACACGTCACTCGCTGTGTCAACACGGACGCAGTGTGAGCTATGATTTAACATCATGTGTGGACGTTTGATTGGCGCGCCTCAGCTAACATTCGTAACCTTGTCCCAATATTCATAACTTGTATTATAGTGTTATTACTTTAAGAAATCGAAAGAGATTTATAACAAAAAACATCACTATTAATATACTTTTAATAAGCATTACACAACACGTCCTTAAAACGTTGTATAAAAAATATTTTGACAACAAAAATGTATCTGTTCACGACACACTGCAGTCCAATTTCAGAATTTTACGTACGACCTTAAATACCGTTGACATCAGCAGCTCTGTTCACGTAATGTACAACATAAACACATTATTTACCTGTTAAACAATATAAATGGCTTGTTTTAGATTAGTGTGAACACTATGTATAGTTCAGTATGAGTTGAGATTTCGAGTGCCGGCATATCCGCGAGTATGAGCACTGGTGCAACATCCTTGGCCGACCTTCCTCATGGAAGTCAATACCCCGGGCGGTTGCAGCAGATCTGTTGCGACACAGCACCGCCTGCGACTGCTGCCTCGCGCCGCTTACGTAACGAGGTCGTTGCTCTTACAACCACTTACACAGACACTTCGCCCATACATTATGTCACCTGTGACGGAGGTCTACTGGCGCTGGTCACCGACATGTTTACATCCACAAAGTATTTGCATCATATTACGACTTTGTATTAATATTTTTTTCACCAGAGCGACACTTTCAATCGGACGGATACTATCTGCGTGTTTCCGAATTTACATTATAAGAAAGTTTATTTTTAATTTACGAAGTATATTATAATTGTCACTTATTAAATTTTTCTTATTAATAATATGTGCTGAAGGAAAACAAGATTAAATTAAATGTCTAGGGACACGAAAAATATTACATTAAAAAATGACGAAAAGTTCTTATGTCGTTTATAATGACTGAGAAACAAGACAATTATTTTATTATTAACTATACCTAAGCAAAGACAATATACAGAGAGATGATGATTACATAAAAAAGAAAGTATTAAGACTGTAGCTTTAAAGGTAAAGGGAGACAGAAGAAGGTATGCATGAAGAAATCTGTTGCTTAGTATGAAGAATAGTACATACTGTACCAAGGGCTGGTTGATGTGATACCCAAATATTGGTAATATAATTGGTGGAGACACTGGGGTGAGAAATTATCAAGCTACCTATACTAATATAATAAAGAGTAAACACACACTTCTTTGTTGCCTAAGATGTCAGCAATTACAGCATATTTTTGAACAATTCTCTTTTTAATAAAAAGTTCTACACTTATGTTACACTTTAGGCTATATATTTTCACGCAATTAAACCTAAGGGATAAATATTTTGGATAAAAACCCTAATGTGGGAAAGAGACTATAAGTTCCTGCCAACATCAAGGAAGCAAAGTTGCTATGGTTAGTCATTGTCATGTCATTTTGACATTTGCAATTGATAATTTACATGTTTACACAATGAAATAAGATTTTCATAATTTTATGCGGGTGAAGTCGCACGGGAACAGCTAGCGATATATAACATACAAAATAGTAAAGCAATCACATATGTAAATGTACACCTGTGCTCTGACTCATTATTTGTAATGCATGTAATATGTTAGTGGGACATATTTTTTATATTACATAGATACTCGAAATTTATTAACTACAGTTAGTAAAGATTACTTATATTTACAAAAAATTTAAAATTATAATGACCTAGCTTTTGCTCGCGACTCCTTCCGCGTGGAATTTAAAAAAAAACAAAATGAGTAGCGTTGGTGTTCTTCTAGACTATCCATTACATCTATACCAAATTTTAATAGAAATCCGTTCAGCCATTTAGGCTACAAACTCTAACAAACATCCATCCATCTAAACTTTTGCATGTATTAACATGAAGCATGATTATAAGATCTGCTAAACTTAACTACTTTTGTTGGACTAGTTTGTTTGTCACATTCACTTAACTCTTATTAACATAGAAAACTAGCTTGCTGGCCTCATCTTTACTGACTTCATTATTTTGAAAATATATCTATTACAGCAAATATGATGAACAACTTGAGATGCTCTAAGTTTAAGAATTATTTGTAAGCCTTTGATTTGACTTGACACACCGACAACTGTTGTCAATTATTTTGCAGCTTATTCAACTGTTTAGTTGTACAACTAAAAATCAAGGAGTGTGCATTCATATAATCTCATAGTAATCAAAACAACTAAACACTTGTGCGATAGTTTAGGTAAAGGTGTGTGCACACTCTAAATGTTCAATACTGCTCAAGGTGTTCAACAAATCCTGTGTCAACATAATGAAAATCACATGCTTACTGGTTGTAAAATAAATAGCCAATGTCTCATTACCATTGTTCTAAAATTACAATATTAATGTTGGCAAGTTAATTATTATTTAATTGTTACAATGCCACTTAATTGGCAAACTGCCACAAACATGTCCCGACTGCTTGTAAAATTGTTAGTTATCTTATAAGAGGTAATCTTCTGTTATGTACCAATTAGTAACAAAAACAACTCTACCAATGGTGTAAATAATATGAAAACATATAAAATTATTGAGTACTGGCTGCTGCTCGCGACTTTACCCACTTGAAATTAAAATAATAATATAAAACATAACTTATGTTGCTTACAGAAAAATGACCTTTCTAATGATGAAAGAATTTTTGAAATCGGCCCAGTAGTTTTTGAATTGTTTCAAAAATACAAATCTTTCCTCTTTATAATATTAGTATAGATTTAGATTATTATTTAGTCCTAGCAATCATACAATTTAAATAATATTACAGCTGCTTAGTAGATATCAGTATTGTTTTATACATTTTTTTATCAAACAAGCAGGTATGGCAGATAGGAGACTAGTTAAATAATATAACAGATAGAAAAAAAACTACATTCTACCCTCAATATATTCATACCCACTGTGCAAAGCAATATACAGAATTTTAAATACTTTTAATATCTTTAAAAATACATTTATATTAACATTTTTTATAAAGACCGCTATTAGACATATTTTTATTTGACATCACAAACTTTACGATACAGTGAAAACAAATTTTATAAATCAAGTAAGATAAATGAAAGTAGCTAATATGAAAAAGTGTCTGTGAATGAAGTGAATTAGTTACAAAACTTGTTACAATTAATCGGAAAAGATTGGTAGTGTTCAATTATAGCAAATATTATTTAAAAATAAAATTGTAATGTTTAAGGCAGATATGCATCAATGATTACTTAGTTGTTTTCGCTGGTTGCTTTCAACTTCAGAAATAAAAAAGGACTTGTAATAAATCATTTAGCTTATGTCACTCAGTTATAGTATTTCTAATGGCAAGCAGAATGTTTAAATTGGTCTGGTTGTTGTTGAGATTATACACTTCATTCACGAACCAATCTTCTTTTTAATATTTGTGTACAAAAGGATCTAAGAGTTTATTAAATTAAAAATTTTATGTTAATAAGTCTACCCTTTGTTTACAAACTTTAGTTATTAAATTGGAGTACACTGTTAATGCAATAATTGTTACTCTATGGGTATTATAAAAATAAACAGTGGTTGTTTATTTTCACTTTGATCTATGAGTTAACATAAAACTTTACATAAAACATTTTAACATATCAGCACATCAAAATACTATTTGTTACACTAAAATTGAATCCTAAGCTTGTATCTTAACACAGAATAAATATTTATGAAAAATTACACAAAAATTAATAGATTTATAATTTAATTATCATATTTAAATAGCAATTACTTAAAAAGGAACAGATCATTAAGACCCTTTTTTTTATATATTTTTATAAACGAAAAAATGGTTTCATTTTTAAGTTTGGTAATTTTCCATTAAACACGTAGAAGTTTAAGAATTTCTGACATATATGAATTAATTAATTTTCTATGCAAATTTCCATATAACTGATGATATCGCGAATGATTGTGGCAGTGAAGAGTGAACGGTGACAAGCGGCCGGCCCGCGCTGTCACCTGCTGCACTGTCCGCCTACCACCACAACTCCGCTCCGACTCATGCCTCACCACACCACTATATCATTTGTAAAACACTATTTATCGTCACTTACCCCAATATGCCAGGCTTATAATTGTAGTTAGCCAGCCTCCAAGGGCAGCCGCCGTATTCACCTATGAGCGCATCGTGGTTTTTGTTCAGGTTAAACGTAGATGCGCGGTTGTCGTTCACTTTCCTCCGCGCGGGGTTGAAGTAATTATTATTCCTATTTTCACCATTAACGTCATTAATTGGTATAAAGTCTGGGGCTTTATTCACATTGGGGTTAGAATTTTCTAAATTTTTTAAGTTCATTTTGTCTATGTCACTTTGAGTCTCCCAAATACGAAGCCAGAGTCGCTTCGCGGGTCCTTCCTGCTCGGGCTGATACCACGCGACGGCGGGATCCATTCAGCCTGAACAAGGTTCAACTATATGGGATAACACATGTTGGAGCATTTCACATTTATAACTATTACATTGAAAATTAACACAAAACAAAAATAAGTCACACCACATTCGGAACATGGACGACACGCGTTTGGTTGACACTTCATCAACTAGAGGGCGCCATCGTGACAAAAATAAAGTTCTAGATTTCTATTCAATGAGGCCATATTTCAAATTAAAATGACTACTAAACAAAGTGTAAACTAAACGTTTGGTTTATCAATTCGAAACATTTTAATACTTTTGATAGCAAAGATAATCTATCTATCAAATATTTTCACACTGTGGCTCAAAAAATTCCTTATAAATCTTGAATTTTTTTTTAAATTTATGTTTATAAATGATTTGAATTTTTAGTTTTACAAAGAATATGCTGGGATTAGCCATTGGAGAACATTTTACAGATTTAAGTACACTTTTGAACGAGCATATGATTACATAGACGTAAAATATAATTTTTTTAGCTATTTCCTACCATTTTCGACTCCTATTGGATTCTTATTTATCTACATCAATTTATGTAAAATATGACAGTTGGTTGACAGTCCGACAAAGTCAAAGTCACTCATTGTTCGCGCCAAATATTAACACAACAAATGTATTTCCAGAAAAAGTTTTATGTAATTGTGCAATTTAATGATCAATTTCAGTTATATTACTAAGACTGATTTACATAATGATAATGAACGTGTAATATATGAACATATCTAAGTTATTTCGATTAAGTAGAATAGCCAATTGCGTCGTGACCGTGCACCGGCACCATCGGGCAGTACACACTGTATTCGTTAAATATTGGCATGTCGATACTCGAAGAATGGCGCAGAAAAGTATAACATCTTTTTTTAAAATAACACCCAAGAAGGAGTCCGTTGCTACTGTCAACAATCAGAATGAGGTATTTTCAGTTTTCTTTATATTGAATAAAACATATTTTACTTCCCTGTATATTTAAATTTACAATTATCTTCAGGAAACATCAAATGTTGATAAAAGCTTTTCCGAAGAATCATCACCGCCTGCACCTGCTACAAAATCAACAAAAAGATTGAGATCTGAGAGTGAGAATGAATCACCGGCTGCGTCCAGGTCTCCCTCTCCAGTTAGCTCAGTAAAGGTATGTTACTGATATACACATTTAATAGCCAAGGGTAACTCAATTAAAATGGTTTAGCCCTTGGTTAACATTTATGAATTAAATCAATGAAACAGCAGCTTAGATGAATTTTAACTTACATAGTCGGCGAGCAAATCATGGCTGCTCGATCATTCTCTCCGCTCTTAAATCTACTTCCCCATACCATTCTATACTTTTCTGATAAGGGTGGGAAGTGACTAGTAATGAAAAATTAATTTCAGAAAAAGAAAGTGAAGAGACAGAGAATAGAAAGTTCAGGAAGTGAGGCTGAACCACAAAAAAGTTCAGACGATGAAACAATTCCTGTTAAAATTGAAAGGAATGATTCACCTAAAACTTATTCCTCACCTAAAACTAAACGCAACAAATCAAAACTTATCAAAAACCAAGTAAAGGTGGAGAGTACTGAAGAAAATGAGAGTGGAAGTGAGAGTCAAGGGAGTAATGGCCTTGAGGAAAACAAAAGTCCCAATCAAAGTGAAAGTCCAAAATCGGTTAAAACTCCTAAAAAACAGAAAAGCCCAAAGGAAAAATCGGGAAGTCCAGAAGAGAAACCAAAAGTCAAAAAAGAAAAGAAAACACCTACACAAAGTACAAAAACCAAGGGTCCAATGGAAAAGTTTATGGCCAGTAATAATATGATGCAGTCTTTTGTAAAAAAAGAAAAAAATGATGGAGAAGAAGATAAAAAAGATTTAAAAGGTGTTAATGATGCAGATGATGAAAACCAACATTCTTTAGTTCCTGGTATGTATTATTTTAAATGTATGATCACTATATTTTTGTCTTTTTATTATTTTCTTATGTAACCTGCATGTTAAATTATTATTGTCTTACTATATGTTGTGCAGTGTACAAACTCAATAACTAACTAAAGGGTTGTGTAACTGTTTTTTAGGTACATAATTATAAACATTAAAGCATACAATAGCTTTTTTATATCATAAGGTAACAAATAAGCAGTTGGTCAACTAGTCAACCCTAGTCAACTTTTCCTTATATCAAAAGGGTGGGAGTAAGTTATTAAAAAAAATTGTGTTATATTTAG